CACGTCAGTTTACTTTCAGTGATATTGACAAGGTAATCTGAGAATCTTGGGATGGTTTCAAATGCATTTAACACTTCAGATGTGTGATTCTCTAAATATCCAATCCAGTGCAGTGTTGAAGGAATGCTACACTGTCAGAGGTGCTGTCTTTTAGATCAGACTCTTTGATTCCACAGCCTGTTTCAAAGAGCATAGGTGATATCCTTGATATTCCAGCTAATGTTAATCCCATAATCAACTGCACGCACACACAGTAAATAAACAGATTTTGTGATTGCTGTTGAATTGCTGTTTGTGGGAGATCACTGTGATTTGCACCACCCCGGACAAAGCAGCCCACTTGATTGGAACCACATCCACTCCCTCCACCACCGACGCTCAATAGCAGCAGTGTGTACCATCTAAAAACGCACTGCAGAAATTCACCAAAGATCCTCAGGCAGCACCTTCCAAATCCACGACCACTTCCATCTAGAAGGATAAGGGCAGCAAATACATGGAACACCACCCCCTGGAAGTTCCCCTCCAAGCTACTCACCACCCCAACTGGAAATATATCGCCGTTCCTTTAGTGTCACTGGATCAAAATCCTGGAATTCCCTCCCTAAAGAGCAGTCTCCCTAAACTTCAGACTGCAAGGATTCAAGAAGACAGCTTACCACTGCCACATTCTCAAAGGGCAATTGGGATTGGCAAGAAATGCTGGCCCAGCTAGGGACACCCAAATTAACTGAGTAAAAAAAAAACTGTTGGAGTCTGAAATGCACTGTCTGAAAAAGGTGCTAGAGGCAGAAACTTTGATCACATGGAGAAAAGTACTTGAATATGTCCCTGACGTACAATAGAGTTCTGACCAAGGAGCTGGAAAATGGTTTCAGGCTAGATAGCTCTTTTACTCCTGGCAGACATGATGGGTTGAATGGGTTCCAGCTGTGTTGCAATTTTTCTGCATTATCGACGGAATTCATTGTGCACTGGAATGTCCAAGATCATTGTAACGCTCCAACCAGGACGTAATCTCACTGCTAATTCATTTTATTCACTCATGGGAGATGGATTTGACAGGCTGGGCCAGCATTTATTGCCCATCCCTAGTTGCTCAAGAGGTGTGTTGTAACATTGATGAATTTATTGTGATCCCTGAATGGCCAATCTATAACCCTACTTCCAGACTCTGCAATGCTTCCCTCCTCCACCCCCTCCCCCAATCTTCCAAGAATCCTTAGACCAGGAAAACATTCCAGAGAATTGGAAACTTGCAAATGAAGCAGCCAGAAAATAGGTACCTACATGCCAATTAGCTTAACATCGGTCCTTGAGAAATAAAGGAAGTAACAGCAGAGTGTTTATGAATACATAAGATGTTTTATTATATTATGAGGCAGAATTGAAGAGATTAGGGAGATCAGCTCCTCCGTCTCTCTCCTGTCAAGCCAGCAAGATCTAAGGTAGTTTGAAAAAAATCCTGGTGTAGCTGAAACCCAATCTACATGCGAGAGGTTAACAGCTGTTGTTTATTTATTCTAAACACTACATTTCGGAGAAAAAATGATCTCAGTCCCCTCTACTTGATAAACCAACTTTCGGAATAATCTCCTGGGAAAGCAAATGTAATTGGGAAACACAGCCTGACATCTATCTTAGTCAGCTCACTATCAGTTTGCAAAGTCACACAGTTCTCAAAAGGGATGACTAAGGGTGCTGTGAGGAATTATGGAAAGCAGCATTTGATGACACTATGACAACAGAAGAGGTTAAAAAGATGGCAAAGACTTCTGTGTCTAACTCAACAACAAATAACGTCTACTTTGGAAGGTGGTCAGGGAAGCAAAAGCAACTACACACCACAACTTCTTGTGTTTATTTATCACCTTCAATGTTGGAGCGCCATACAAAATTTGACACTGAGCCATGCAGATAGTGGGACAGGCAAAAGATGTAGCTTTCTAAGAGCAGCTTGGTGGAGAAGGACAGGGAGGCAGAGGGGTTAGGGTTATGAGAAGTGACAAGGCCTTAGAAGAGAAGGGAAGAGGTTCCATTGCCAAGAAATTTTCCAAAAAGAAAAAGGACTTGAATGACTTCAGTTTCAAAACAACATGGTTTGTCCTTGTATGAAGAAAATATTAGCAGCTCCCCCAATGACTGAGCTGATTACAGCAGATAGAAGCTGAAAAAGAGGCGTTTTCATACTCACATGTGGCTTGTCACCTACCCCTCCCATCCTTCTAATAGAGGAGCAAAAGCTGAGAATAGTGGGACCAGAGGTAGGTACCACAGCACCTCCAGAAGAAATTCCACATTTGCTCTAATTCCACATTAGACAGAGAGTAAACTACCCCAGGTTCAAGATCATCACAATCTCTTTGATTTTAGCTGCAAAGCGTCTATATGAACACTCGGTAAGGCGGGATGAAACTCTTGTGATGCCAAGAGGAAAACTTCATAAAATGCATTTGGGACACTTACCTAGAACATTATTATGTGGATCTAACCAGGGATCATGTTATTTTGAGGCAAGTTTGATAAATAATTTCAGAGTAGGGAACAGTGGCCATAATATGGTAGAATTTAGCAATGTTTGAGAGTGAGAAACTTGGATCAAAAACAAGTGTTAAACCCAAAGAAAGGTAACTATATAGCCATGAGGACGGAGTTAGCTGTCGTACATGCTGAAAGGAGTTTAACAAAAAAGACAGTTGAGGGACAACAGCAGACATTTAAGAAAATAGTTTGGTGATTCCCAGCAAAGATGCATCCAGGAAGGAAGGAGGATTGTAGGAAGGGTTACACTGGCTATGGTTAACCAGGGAAGTTAAAGAGTCCTTCAAATTGAAAGGAAAAAAACCGTACAATGTAACAAAGATTAATGGTAAGCCGAAGGATTGGGGAAGTTTTAAAAAAAAGATGAAAAAATAAAAAAAGAGGAAGAAAATAAACTGAGGGCAAACTAGTAAGTCATACAAGAACAGACAGTAAGAGCATCTTTAAATGTATGAAATGGAAGAGAGAAGCTAAAATGAACATAGCCCTCTTAGTGATATAGCAATGGGGAAAATCAGGAAATGGCAGTGGAACAAATACTTTGTAACAGTATTGTTCACAGAAAAGGACATTAATAACATTCCAAACATACAAATTAAATAAGCATTTATCGGCAGGGTGAAAAAAATACAATTACTAACAGTAGAAAAAATGTACTAGGGAAACTAATAGGACTAAAGATGGATAGGTCCCCTGGACTGATGGGTTGCATCCGAGGATGTTAAAACAAGTAATTACAGAGATCGTGGATGCACTGGTAGTAACCTTCCAAGAATCCTTAGACCAGGAAAAGTCCCAGAAGATTGGAAACCTACAAATATAACACATTTATGTATAAAAGGAAAGGAGCCAGAAAACAGGTACCTATAGGCCAGTTAGTTTAACACTGGTCTTTTGGGAAAACATTAGAGCCTATTATAAAAGGATGCAATAGTGAGTATTTATGAATACATATACAATCAAACATCCTATGAGACAAAGTTTGAAGACATTACACCTGTACTTACTGGAGTTAGAAGAATGAGATGAGACCTTAGTGAAACATACATGATTCCTAGAGGATTCGACAGGGTAGATATGGAGTGGTTGTTTCCTCTTGTGGGAGAGTCTACAATCACTGGAGTTAACCTCAGGTTTAAGGGATTGCCCATTGAAAACAGAGATGAAAAGCAAATTTTCTTTTAGAAGGCTGAAGTAGACAGGTCTATAATCAGTCAGGGTTTCAAGGGTTATGGGAAAAGATTGGAAAGTGGAGTTGCAAATTGTCTCATCAGTCATGATTTGATTGAATGTCATAACAAACTCAATGGGCTGAATAGCCTACTTTTGCTCCTACATATTAGAGTCTTATAACGTTCTCTTTTAACCTATAAGAAATGGGGAAAAAAATCTTCGTGTATTGGAATTCTTCAAAGACAATAAAACAAAATGAACAGGAAATACTTCAATTTGGTTTTTAAACACTGAGATTATAACAAGTACAAACATATCTTATTTAACAGCCTTGCTAAACTGAAAAGCCATCTGTGGAATCCAGAGAATGAGTAAGAATTATTTCAAAGGCAAGATTCATTATGACATTATAATTTCTGCCAATAAGGAATTCTTTTGTTCTGTTGTAAAACAGATAAGAGTTTGGATAAGTTTGTGGACATGCCTCAGTCCAGCTGGACTTTTGAAGCAAGAGTGAATGTTTTGGGGTCCAATGAAAACTGTGGTTACAGCCAAACTATGCAATAACAAATTGAAACCAAGTAAGGCGCAGACCACTATTTTGGCATGCAATGTTCTTTTAATTGGCAGATTATTAGTTCAGTTTGTGATGTTGTGATGTCAACAGTGTGGGTTCAATTCCTGCATCAGCTGGGGTTACCATGAAGGACTCTCCTTCTCAACTCTCCCCTCACCTGAGATGTAGTGATCGTCAGGTTAAACCACGACCAGTTGTTTCTCTCCCAGTCCTTGGTCTGGTAGGATTACAGCAACATTACTAAGTAAATATATTCAGTAGATAATTGAAGTAAAATAAATATTGACCAATAAATGATTCTCTTTCTACAAGTGAACTTATTTCTATTTCTCAAAGGATTACAAACTATCTGTCAAGGCGTGAGCCTACAAAACATTCTTATAATCCCTTGGCTGTGATAAACTTTACAGTTTCTAGTTAGCAGTTTATGAAAGCAGTTGACAGTCAAATCATTAGCCAATGCATTCTCCAGTACATTTTTGTGAAACCAACCAATCAGTACTCTCCTCTCATGCAATATAAATGTTGGTTTCACAAAAGTATAAATTATAAAGGGAATTTTCCTTATAATTGCTTCAACAACTTTTTTTTCCAGTAATACTCAAGTTCTGTACCATCAAATGACTATTGGTACAGCAAAATTGCTTTCAAAGGTGTAACAATCAATCAGTAAGGGAAAGACTCATACCTGAAAATTGGCAAAGTCCATAAGAGAATTATGATTGGAATCTTTAGAGAAGTGTAGACTAGTAATCCAGAACCCCAGGCTAATGCTTTGGGAACATGAATTCAAATCCCACCATGGCAGATGGTGAAACTTGAATTTAGGGGAAAAAAAACTAGAATAATAAGCTAACCTGATGGTAGTCATAAAGACAGGAAATCTGCTATTCTTAGCTGGTCTGGCCTATGTCATCCAGACCCACAACAATGTGGTTTGCTCTGAACTGACTTCTGAAATGGCCCTGCAAGCCATGCAGTTCAACGGCAATTAGAAATGGGCAAAAAATGCCGCTCAACCAGCAATGCCCACAGGAGAGATTGGCTCAACTTGGTTTAGGATGAGAGTAGATCGGATTGAAACAGGACTCAACAGACTAGATGGAGGGTTAATGCCTTCACTCAGAAGGTAGTGAACCTGTGGAATTCTTTACCATAGAAGGCTGTGGAGGCCAAGTAACTGAATCTATTCAAGGAGATAGATTTTCTTTTAGATTTTAAAGCTATCAAGACATATGGGGACACAATGGGAATGTGGTGTTGAGATAGAAGATGAACCATGATCATAATGAATAGTGGATCAGTCTCAAAAGGGACTAATGGTCTACTCCTGCTCCTGGTTTTTATATTTCTACAACACATTCAAATTTCTTTTGGCATTATGGGGGTTACCAGATAAAGCTTTAGAGACTTGCTCCAGCTGAGACCACTGGCATTTGCTTGCCATCTAAGATCTGGAACACCAGATCCTTCTTCATGTTATTTCAATGGGCTTAGAGTGATCTGTCCTTTCGACACAAGTCTGATTCCATCGCACAGCCTATTGAAGGCTTCATTTTTGGATCTGTGTTGAACCACCTTGCACAGCTCCGTGAAGTTCATGATGCTGCATGTTGCACCAATGTCTACTTAACATTTAATGTTGACCAACATTCTCCCGCAGTCCTCATTCCAACAGTCACAAACCTATCACCTATTGATGTGACTGAATATATTCAAGAAAAAGTGAGCAGCTGAACAAATCTGTTATATAGTGTAAAGTGACCTGTCAGAATCTTCAGGCGCTCTCTCTCCAATGACCACCTTGATGTTGCTCTTTCTTGCCATACATTTACATGCAACATGATTTAGTTTTTATACGGAGAAGGCTGGTTCACCCATTCTGGACATGTTGCCTTCTCTTTTGCATAATTTCTTCTGCAGTATGCCTTTTGTCCGTGATTGACCTGCCAGTGTGCCTGGAGCATCCATCAGCATAAAGCAAAACCTGGACCACTCTGCCACAACTACGCTCTACTGATTCACATCCCCGGAACTTCTGCACAGCTCAGATGCTCTTTAAGTGCAAGTTTGTTTTCTCTCAGCGAGTGCGGCTTCACTTTTGGGTCCCTTATTCCACTACAATCCTGTGTTCATTTGGCTCATCCTTTAATTGTGTTAATTCACAGATTTCTGCAAGCTGAATTCACAATGTTACAGAGATAGTAGGAACTGCAGATGCTGGAGAATCCGAGACAACAAGGTGCAGGGCTGGATGAACACAGCAGGCCAAGCAGCATCATAGGAGCGGAGAGGCTGACGTTTCGGGCCTAGACCCTTCATCAG